ATGTATCAAAACAGAAAAATTAAGACACATACTGTTTGCACTATGAATCAAATGATTCGCAAAATATACTTTATGCTCAGTGGACTGAGAAATCTAACAACACAGACTGCCTAACACATAAGGAGCGAGTTAAGACTGGTTTCTGTGTTTACAGCCATCGTGGTTGGTGAATAATTTAAACATAACATCTTCCTCCGGGTTGCCGCAGAGCAAGGCTCCCCGAAGACATTTCATTAGATGGCAAAACAAGCATGAAAATCCAAGAATAGTTGACATGTCTTTGACATCTTTTACAAGGTTATCCATAGTGAAGTGACTTTTCACATGACCCTACACATCACATGACCCAAGCAGCAGCAAATTTAGTTGAACCGGTCCCCAAGTTTTGAAACCTCCTCCTTGCAGCCTTAAGCCTCCTCAGCAGTAACACAATGCTCAAAAGGGAACAGCTTCAGGCCTTTTCTTCAAATTGATTACTTTGTTCTTTTCACATAATTATTTGAAACTTTTTTTTTGCCAAGCAAAATCCTATATGTATTAATAGTTAAGTCCCTACTGAGCCAATGGCAACAGTGAGTGGTGAGCATGCTATCTATTAAAGGTTAACTTGAGAGAAAAGGTCAGCTTGGACAATTTAAAAAGTGTTTAAGAAAAAACACAGGTATACAGTAACGTCCTATTTCAACTTATTGCCTCTGAGGACAACAAATTACAGTTAGAGCACAAATGTGTCTGTCTTTCTATGCTGAAGTGCAGTAGAAGTTTGTGTTTGGGATTAAAATATGTGAACTACAGAGAGGTCACTGTCCTTTAAAAAAGGAAGATGAATCCTGAAGGGAAGCTATGGGAAGCGTACTTCTCTATCACGTTGGTCTTTTTCTGTGACAACTAAACCTAATCACCTCAGTCTCTGAATCACAACTGCAGGTCAGATGTGTTCATGTGCATCTGTGGCTCCCCTGGCTCCTCTGTACGTGAAGATGAGTGATAGCACAGAATAGTGACTGGCACTTTTCAAGGTGATGCTGCAGGTGACCTCCGACCTGGACAAGTGGAGTTTGCTGAGCTAAGCTGTAATGATCGACTTCACCAAGTGGCATCCTGAGGTGATGAGGCAGGAGATGACAGGATGAAAGTGGTGGTAAAAACAGACTCGTCTGTCAGGGTATGGAAAGAGTATATCAATACGCTGCTTTATTGAGGAGCCAGCGCTGCTTTTCTATGTTTTTCTGACTGCATAAAAACAACCCAGTGGTGATGGGAGAACAATGGTGATTTTAACAGCTTTTCTTTCATTAGGGTCTACTGTTCACACCTTGCAACAGTTTTGTGGACCGATCAGCTAAATGAAATAATTTGGTTTTAGTGGCTGATTGCAGGATTGCTTTTTTTTTTTTGGAAACTGAGTGGCACACTTAAAAATTTCTGGTTCATCTGAACCCAAATAAATAACAATTATGCAGGTCAAATCAGTTCTGTATATATAAGGTGGCTGTGCAAAAATTCTAAATAAATGAATTAAAAAATGTTTACAGTGACCATGCAGATGAAAAGAGAAGTTTAAATGGTCAGATGAAAGCTAATTTTTATAGTTCAAACTATCAGACACCTTTAAGTAGGCAGGCTCACATCTATGTCCATGATTTACAATCAGTGACGTGCGGTCAGGGGAGACAAGTCAATCTAGAAAAGAAAAATTTTTTTTTACCATAAAATATAATAAATGTTAATATTTGTCGGCTGGTGTGTGTTTTAGGCCCTTTTGCCGTTCGAATCCGATGTTGAAGGAATTTTTTTCAATAAAGAATAGCAGAATTTCCGTATGTCCCGTTCAAATACATGGAGGAGATGCCCGATGAGGCAGCACTTTGCTGTGCCTCTCGGTGGATCGTATAATCCTCACCAACTGTATGCGATGCAAATAGTGTGTCGCTGTCCCTCTATATATCGCAAATAAAATGTTTTCAAACACTCTGGTTATATGCTCTGCCCTGCCATAATCTGGATAATGTATAAAATGTAGTTGTGTAACGTGTTTAGGCTCGCAGATTAACCATAAAACCCAGTAAAAAAGTTACTCGGTGAGGCAAACAGTACGCCTGCCTCAAGGCAGAGGGCGCTAGTGAGCCCACAGATTCTTGCGCTACCTACAATCTTCTTCGTGCTTGTTTATATTTCCTTTACAATCCGCCTTATCAAAATGGAAGATTACATTTCCAAGCTGAGAAAATTCGCAAATCTGGACTTTCAATCAAAACATTTTTGACAGTCTGGACATTTTTGTCCAGAAGGATCTTCTTTATTGAGAACATTTGTTTTAATATTGGATTCGAACGGTAAAAGGGTTTGTAATACATACCAGCTGACAAATGGATTTCGTGTACAAGTAAAGGTAAGACCATAAACTTTTATTATTTCTAGTTAGAAATAAGCTCAATTGGAATAAATTTTAACCTCAAATTAAATATGGGTCACGTTTGTGTGAAGAATGCTGATATGAGATATAAAACACAACGCATTGTCTGAACAGACAATTTGTTCATTTGTATTTGTAAATCTGACTGTAAAAGAGTCAGTGCCTCACCAGCTGTCAACCTCACTGCACGTCACTGTTTACAATGGACAAAAACAAAACATAAAAAAAAAAGACTTCCACAGCCGAAGGGGGGTGGGAGATAAGCAGTGCCGGAAATGGAGAAGTCGAGTGGAAGAGGCTGCCGGTGGTATTAATTAAACAATGTCCATTTTAATCACAGCTAATTATACTTGCAGGCGAGGGATGAGAGGAGTGATGGGACCGAGGGTGATTCTATCTGTGTCTCTGCTCATTAGTATGGTGGAGCTGTGTCATGGCAACATTCAACTTCTCCAGTTAAATAATCAAGCATTAACACTCATCTCTGTCAGAAGAGGGTGACATGGTTAAAACTCTGATTGTAGGTCAGGTTGGTATAGTCGACACCTGAATAGAGCTGCTTGTGAATCAAGAGAGAAATGTGAAAAGTGCTTCTAGAGCTGTTTTCAAACAAGCAAAATATGCTGTCAAACAGTTCAGAAGCAGTAGAGTGTTAGTCTTTTCAATTTCAGCCTTGAACCACATTTTAAATTCCCCCGTTTACCTTCTCAATAACCTCTCCACCATATACCTCCCTCAGTTTCTTTCTCTTCCACAGCTGCCTATTATCTTTATTTCCCACATTCAGGAGCTCAGACATTGACCCTCGACTCCTGGCCGACCTGAAGGTCACAAACAAAAAGGACAGGGGTATTGAAGGGGTATCATGGCTGTGTCTTGGCTCTATAAGGAAGAGGAGAGATGTATAATGATAAATATAAAGGGACTCTTATGCAAAATTGTTACCAAGAATATGGGCACCACCACTTGAGGCCATAATGTTGTAATCAGGTTGTCTGGGAATCACTTTCCCATCCCAGGCACTCATCTCTTGTCTTGTCTTGGCTATGGTGTGCGTGTAGTGAGCTCAGACAAGAACACACTCCCAGCTACAGTCCCACAGCCTCCCTCTCCCTCTGTCTGTCTGTCTGTCCATCTCCTGCTGCCCACCAATCATCTTCAGCCTTACAAGCGGATTATTGAATCCACCCAAACCTCCTCACCTCAGCTCAGAAAGGACCGTGGTAGCTCTCTCTCTAACACACACGCACACATACACACACACACTAGGATTAGTGAGCAAAATAAAACAGTGAGGAAAATGTGATACACACACTCCTGTGTCTGAAATGAATCACAAAAGAATCTTCGTCAAAGGCAGGATGAAAATAATAATCTTTTAACAAGATAACGCATGACAACAAATGCTTTCAGCTCATTTATAAATAAAGGGCTATGCTTTTGCAGGCTTAAAAAAATATAAGATGCAGCTACTGTAAGGCAGACATTAGATATAAATCTAATATAAAAATAAGTTTTTAGATTTTAAATAAACTACTCTTACATCCATCTCCAACCGACTGTATTGCAGCAATGACACAAACACAGTATCTGAATCATTCTGATCTGTCTATACAATTATGGCATTAAGGGAAAAATTTAGGACTGTAAAAAATATTTACATTACTGTCTGCAGTAATGAACAGAGAAAAGGTTTTTAATAAAAACTAGAATGGACTGGGAATGGGGGGAGGAAGAGAAATTGGAGAGACAGAAGTAAAAAGCGACAGATTTTTTTCCTGTGTGGTTTTCTATAAGAGGAACGAGAGGAGATAAGACTAAAAGGCCTGTCACTCAGAGAAACAATCCCTCCAGTGTCCCCTCTTGCTCCTGCTGCTGCTCGCTCCTCCCTCCCTCTCTCCAATTTCCACAGATTCATGCCGAGATAGAGTCGCTGCTCGCAGGGACAGTCTGCTGACATCATCCGCTACATACCGAGTGTCCTGCACTCTCACTGCACTTCCCCACAAGACTTCTGTGACAAGATGTACACACATATACACAAACACGTCTCCACCCTTTACAGCTCGATAACTAGCTGATTAATGGCACCAACAGAACCTAAGCTATGCACGACTACTATTAGATTTCCTCATTCAGTTTCCACTGCATAGTCTTTCCAGTATGGACAACTTTTACCCAAAGAGAAGTAATTTAAAACATATGCAGGGTAAAATAACCTAATGTTTAGTGAGTGATAGCATACAGGCTGTAGCACAGTTACACGCACGTTGACGGTTGCTGGTGAAGTCATAAATACACACCATTTCTTTTAACTAAAATCCAGATAATGCTTTTGCAGCATCAAATAATACAACTCGGGGTACATTTTCAAGCTACGTGCTACAGTAGTAGATACACTCCTTATGGCCATTAGTTACGGCTGAGACAGTATACGAATAGAATAGATTCAAGACAGACCGTGACATCAGGAGAGCTTGTTTAGGAAATTATATGTTGAGTATGAATGCAAAACAAA